AGGCGGCCCGCGTGATTCTTATCAACTCCTCGCTGGCCAGCCTCCTGTGGTTCCTCATGAGCTTCTACAGCCTTCATGAGACGCTCCATCAGGAGATCGCCAAATACCAGTCCAGATTCTTCTGGGCAGGGGAGAAAGGCAAGCAGAAATATCACATGGTCAGCTGGCCAGATATTTGCAAACCCAAAGACCAGGGCGGTCTTGGGATCCTGTCCTCTCGGCGCATGAACATCGCCCTCCTGACCCGCTGGCTATGGCGCATTGCCAATGGCGAGGGAGGCCTCTGGCTAACTATCATCCAGAACAAATACCTACGTGGACAGCCCCTGGCGTTCTGCCAACGCTCGGGCGGTTCCCAGTTTTGGCAGGCTGTCGTCCAGCTGCTACCGGTTCTGCGTATAGGCACTTCCATCTCTGTGGGCTCTGGCGCCTTGACCTTTTTCTGGCTGGATAGATGGCTTGGGGACTCCCCTCTAGCCGCCCGGTTCCCCATCCTCTTCGATATTGTAGTTGACCCTCGGGTCTCTGTCGAGGCGGCCCTTATTGACTTAGGGCGCCTCGCGTTCCGCCGCCCTTTTGGACCTGCCGAGGTGGCTGCCTGGGATGATCTCCTCCAGGACATCGCCCTGCTGCCTATGGACGTGGCAGATGCTCCGGATGCCATCTCCTGGCGCCTAGATCCCTCCGGCCGCTTCTCCACCAAATCCCTCTACGCGGCCATTGCCCCCTCGTCAGCTCCGGAGCCCTTCGGCTTTATCTGGGACATTCGCCTCCCACTTAAGATTCGAATCTTTCTGTGGCAGTGGATCCGCGGCCGCCTCCCGACCGGCGTGGAGGTCCTCAAGCGCCATGGTCCTGGTGATGGAATGTGCCCCTTGTGTGCCACGGTTGAGGATGCTAATCACATCTTCTTCTCGTGCTGCACGGCACAGTTCCTTTGGTCTTGTTTCCGCGAAACGGTTGGCGAACAGTGGTGCAATACCAACTTCCCTGACTTGCTTGCCGAAATTCAGGCCTCCCCCCCTCGCTACAGACATATCAGATGGCTGTGCGTCGGGGTGCTGGCCTGGACCTTGTGGACGGTTCGCAATAGGCTTGTCATTCAGAAGGTGCCCCTTCGACGTGTGACTGACTCCATCTTTAAAATGTGTGGTTACTTGCAGCTCTGGCGGCCGCTTAGCCGCCCCCCGGACCGGGACGCCATCGACAGACTCCTCACCGACCTCCGTTCGTTGGCCTTCCGCCTGGCACCTCCACTCCCGCCGCCACCCCCGGAGCCCGACTAGTGGATGATTCACTTCTGGCGCGTGTGCCTTGTTGGTTGTGTGTGTTGGGCTTGTTGAGCTGTGCCCTCAGCAGTACCCCTTGTTGCTTTCTTGTGCTTGGACTTTGGGTGCGTGTGGACCTTGTGTTTGTGTGAACTTTGTGGTTGTGGCTTTGGCATTGGCTTTATCTATAAAGCGGGGCGCGAGCCTTTTTCGGTAAAACTCAGTTTCCATGGACTAATGTTGAGATGGAAGTATAATCAGCTTTACAGACTGGCCTCATGTTGAGATAGAAGTTAACCACAAACAATCTTTTAATATCCCATTACGGCCATCGAGCTATGGTGCAAGAATACTTGACGATGATTTTTTTCCTTTTTACTACAGAGTTAGTATCCCGCAGTTGTTTTTCTTTTGTCTGCATTATCAAACAACTTGCATGGTTAATGATTTTTTTTCCCTTCCACTAGAGAGGAATGAATCCTCAAGTTTCCATTTTGTGGTGATTTTGTTTTGGTGTGTTATCAATCAGCTTCCATGGTAAGTAGTACAGTACAAGGGATCCTCACGTTTCCATTTTTTGTGATAATCAATCAGATCTCCGGCATTAGAAAAGATACCCTACAACATCAAACAAACACTTGGCTTCAGAATTAAGTTCTGTAAGTCTGGCGCACCTAAATACTCTTTTGATTCACGGCCGGGTAATTAATAGGAATTAAAAAAGGGAGGAGCAACTCAAGCGAAGAAAAGCAACCTAGCAGAATTAAGCACCATAAAAGTTTTTGATACACAATTCACTGTAAAAGACTGTGTACACTACAATGAAAACTTGACAGTAGGATGCATGTTTCTGGTGTAGCTGATGCAAAAGGTAATACGTGTTGAATATGAATAAATTGGCAAGGCAAAGATCTTTGGGCTTCAAACACATATCAAAATAAAACTGAAAAAAATACTGGTTGGATAACCAATACTGAAAAATGGAGCAACCAATTGTGAAAAAGAGACATCTTTACTGTCAATTTTATAGTCATCAAACGGTCCTCATTTCCTGATTGCATGCTGTTGTCGAGAATTTCATCCCACCCATTGCTTTGGAGATCATCTCTGTCTGCGATAAAAGTTTGTCAATCTAGCTCACATGAGTTGAGTCGCACCATATGTCCCATTATTACCCTGTTAGTCAAGTAGCTGGTATCCCCCAATAGTAAGAGCAGAGAAGATTTTTAGTGAGTAATTGCATGTATTTTATTCCTATCTTCTAGACAAATCTTTTACCGTTTAAGCACAACCCATAATATAGTTCTTTTATACCAGTTAAGTTAATTATTCAACAAAATTCCTTTTTACTGAAATAAGAACCACATAATGCTTACAATTTAATCTGGTGATCTGGACAACTAAATGGGTCAATCATAGGCTTAGTATCTTTTGACATATATAATGTGGGGAAGAAGACCAGTCTCTTGCTAGGGATTTCTGGAGGCAACATGCACTTCACTATTTTAATTTTGTATTCCTGCTATTGCGTTTTAAGGTGTCTCCTACTACTTTCAAGGCTTTCTTACACTCAATATCATATGTCATCTTTCGTACGACTGAGCAGTCTCAGCTATGCTTCAAACCAAACATCAAGGGAGCAAATAACTTGATTACAAGCTACATTCCTGATTGTTGTCATGAAGCAGATCTTATTTTCTGGATGGATCCATTGTTTTATGTTTCCAGCCTTTTAGATTTTTGTCTTATACTATGGAGTTGATTACGATGAATGATGCGCTCCACTGAAAATGTTTATAGTCTTTTTTACCAATTTTCTATTTGTGTAATAATTACGAAAGATCCGGTTCTCAACATTACCTACTCGAGCAAAACAAGTGAATGCCAGGGTTCTCCAATATCTTCACTATAGTTTTAGTCCAACAAAGTTTTTTGTATTACAACATTGTTAAAAATCTCTATTGCTTCTCTTATGTTGGTACATCACTATATTTTGTTTATTTTATTGATATATGTTTCTTCATAAGGTGAATGTTGATTGTTTTCACATGATAATACGTGCGTTGCACGTGCACGCTTACTAGTGGGTTATAAAAGTGCCCTCACGCGGGAGAGAGACCCACCCCACGCGGCCACGCCACTCTTTTTCGTAGGCCCACCCTACCCCAACCCCGACCTCGCGATGGCCGGCGACGGCGATTCCGACACATACCTAAAGCGCATCCAGGCGGAGACCCTCCGTAACGAGCACAAGCGCGTGTGTATTGACCAAGAGGTACACAGTCCCGCCGGCTCTCAGCGTCCTCTTCGCCTGAAACTGGGTAAGATCACCCCCCACCTCCTTGCCATTGCTTATTGCCGTTGAAGAAACAACCTTTTTTTTAGGCGCAAAGACACCACTTTCGTCGACAACTGCAAACGCAACCGCTGTTTCCTTTTAGTTTGTGAACTACTGTAGTTCAGTTAACAGCGAGATAGCACGCTCAAGCCTGAAGCTTAAGTGTGTCCATGGGAAAACAAGTACTACTCCCTATGTAAACTAATACGAGTATAAGATATTTTACTTCCTCTGTAAACTAATATAAGATCTTTTAGATCCCTCTGTAAACTAATGTAAGATCTTTTAGATTACTACTTTAGTGATCTACTCCAGATATTGTATTATACAGTATTAATTTACAGAGGGGGTACATATTGGGGCTACTAGTATGGATCTGTCTAAGTTTGACGCTGAATGACACGCCTCATACTCTTGAATCAGCCGACATGTATGCCCATCTTCAGTTTGCCCTTCCTTTATAAATTAACACTGTATTTCGTATGCTGAAATGATGGGCACTTGTTATAACCCATATGGCCGAAGTAACCACAATAGTCACTGACACAGTATCATTTTGTCTAGGGTTGAGGAGCATGCCGGCAAGGCGAGCAGCAGTGAGCCTGGGTGTACAAGCACGGATCTGGCTAATTTTGAGACCCTGACGCTGAACGACACACCTCACACACTTGAATCAGCCGACAGGTGTTTCCATCTTTATTTTGTCCTTACTTTTATTAGTTTGGTTTGTTCAAATGTTGGGAAATTGTTATGACACATATCGTTGAACTAATGGATACTTATTATGACCGATACGGTTGAACCAATGGTACTTGTTACTTGGGTACTCATCGTTGAACTTTGCGTACTTGTTATGACCTATATGGTGGATGCGGGGTAAATTCTGTTTAATGATGAGACCTACTCATTTTTTTTTTCTGTTCAAGCCAACCTGCAGGACCTTTAGCTTTCCCTGTTTTTGATCAATCAATATAATTAATTGGAAAAATCTTGTTGGTAATTTACAGTAGGCGGCACTGGTGGAAAACTGTCGCAAGTGATATAGCCATTGGTCATTTTGCAAAAAGTTAGGAGTGGATTCTGACTGCCTTTGTGTGTGTGTGTGTGTGTGTGTGTGTGTGTGTGTTTTCTAAACATGCTCCATTAAATGTACTCCCTCCGTCCCAAAATTCTTGTCTTAGATTAGTCTAGATACGGATGTATCTAATACTAAAACATGACTTGATTCATCCGTATTTAGACAAATCTAAGACAAGAATTTTGGGACGGAGGGAGTATATCTCATGGTTAAGATTGATTATAGATTTATTTGTTTCCATAAGACTTCCGAGCCTCCACAGCCATAGTAGAAGTTGACTAAAGCATGGATGTAAATTGTTTGACCTAGGGTGGTAATGCATGCTGACGCAGTCGATGGTGCCGTTCTTGATTCCACACTTGCGGAGCCACCAGCGCACGAGAAACAAAAACCAAGGTAAGCACTCCCCAAACATGTTTTAAATGATGTATACTGATTTTCAGAAAGCACTCGTGTTGTTACGTTTCTTTAGGTTAACACAATAGCTTTATGTATTGGAGCTATGAATTGTCTTTCATAGGTCATAATGGAAAGTAGCATAGTTGCTATGCCTAGTGAACCCCACGTCATATATATTTCTAGAACCAGGTTTTAGTATCACACCCATACCCAGGTACTGTAATCAATGGTGCATAGTGAATAAAGCAAGGTTCATTACAGCTTAAAACAAGTTCAATTAAGCTGAGAATCCATTTATCACAACTTGTCCCTTGTTGTATCATTACATGAACTTCGTCCTACATCTATGTATCGGACCCTGGGATCAAGATTGTATAAATCTAGTTGTAGACAATCATATGAAAAGCCTCACTCGATGCAACTGAGTTGGAGTGTCATCGCTTGGCATAGCATGATAAATCCCGAGCTCTTACCGCATGAGTCGCTCGATGGAGCTGAGCTTGAGCGTTATTGCTTTGCCTTAAACGGGACCAGAGAAACGTCTAAATAATTACCCGTAGCAAAGAGTGGGTCTTACGCTAGTTATTAACCATTTTTGTTGACTGTACTCTGATGTTTCTATCTAGGCGGGAGATACCACGAAAATATTGGCCACCCAAATATGAAGGTGATATAAAATTTGCAGAAGAACAAGCTCGAAAACAAGCTGAATCAATTCAAGAACGAGGACATTATACTTCTTCTGAGGAAGAACTTGCTCAAAATGCGAATAGATGGATGACCGAGGAGGCGATGGTGGCTTTCAGAAGATACATCGAGAGTGAAGATGATCTTAAGGTTCCCATGTCTGTTCTAAATCTTTAATTGTTTGGACTGTAGAGACCTATCACTAACACTTCTTTCATCTTAGGGAGTTGAGTATGAATTTGATGAACTTCTCCATCAATGTTTTAATGTGGAGCATTATTTAAAGACATGTCATCACTTCACCTTTACTGTCAAGATAAAGAAGCATGGCTCAGCCGATTGGACATCAGTGATGTACTTCGCTGAGGTCCGCGGAATATTTATGATAAAGGATTACTTCTGTTATCCTTTGGACCCGGATGAAAATGGTATGAGAAATTTCACCTTGCGAATTCTAGTGATCTAAAAAAATTCTAATCTTGTGGCTTATTTTGTTAGGTCAATGTTATGCATGTCAGAACCAAGGAATGCATGAGTTAAGGCACCCATCAGTAGGGATATTTGACTGCGGCAAGGAAGATGCATCATTTCCCTACTATTGTGAGGAAAGTGACTCTGATGAATATCATCCAAAAATGGAATGGAGTGAATCTGATGATGATATGAGTTGATGGCATTGTTCATCATTCTTGTAGGAGTGTAAGTTTACTTTAGCCCTTCTATTCTCACATCCTCTTGATCTGTTGACTCAAGTCAAGTTGCTAGTTGATTTGACAATCGAAGTGTATAATCGACTACAGGCATCCGAAAAATGGCCACTTGCCGCACAGCAATGGTTTATCAGGGTTCACCCCTAGCTCCAGCAGTATCATCCATGGCTGGCTGGGACCTTTTCTATTTTTGGGTTCTATGTAGAGAGACTGGCTGGACATGGGATGTGCTATTATGTATTGTTGGTTATAATGCCACACTGGTGTTTGCTCTGATGCAACCGGTTTGTTTAAGTTCTTGGTTTCGCACCTGGTGAACTGTAAGTTTGCATGTACATTTTTTTGAGTTGGTGTTTTCATGCACTTGGAACTGATGAAGTACATCATCTGACTCAGACACCTGAACTGTGCTGATGATCTGAAGTTGCTGATGCACTTGAAGTAAATCCTTTTGTGATGATCTGAAGTTGCTGATGCACTTGAACTGAAAGATATGTTGCTAGTGACGGTGTTGCTGTGGTGCCACCTGAAATATCTTATTTTCAAGATCTGGCTAGCTTAATCTGTGCTAGTGCCTGCACAGGACCTTCCAGGGCGTGAAGCAGAGAGACAATATAAGAGAGGAAACGCTTTAATCACACCGACTGATTTTAGCGTAGCAACAACCGACTCGTGTTTGATTATCACGGAGCACCTCCTTTCGCTTCCTATATTAAACCAAATCTAGGCAGGAAACAAGTGCTTATGGTTGGTTGCTGGTACCTTTGGTGGATTAAGCATCAGACTATTGGTAAGAGCATCTTCTAAGGCCCAAAACCCCTCTCCAACTGATGATGTAGATGCAAAAAAAAAATTACATCACTGCCTTCCAGAGATGTAAAATACAACACCCCGCAGTGCAAAATTGCATCTCCATGTAGCAGCGGGCCGCCAAGCCACGCGGTGGAGGCCTGAAGCAGCAGATGGCGCGGGGGCGCAACCTAGCGGCGAACCAACCTCGTCTCGCCAAAATTTCGAAGCCGGTCACGCTTCACTGCCCCGATTTGTGCCTCCGCCGCCGCGATTCGCATTGCCGCCACACCAATTCGCCACCCCCGCTGCCTCTGCACCGCCGCCCCGCATCGCGTCGCGCCGCCACCGTCCCTGATTCGCCCGCCACTTATTGGAGTTGCACTTTTACATCTCCTTTTTACATCATCTATTGGAGTTGATCCTTTTTTTTAGATGCATGATGATGTAAATTTTTACATCTTCTGTTTTACATCTCAAAATTTGCATTTTTTATTGGAGATGCTCTAATGATACTATCACTTCGAAAGGTCCAGCAGTTACAGTAACAGTCAAATGGCCACTGATACAAGTGTGCGACCCCTTCCGACTCTCCATTTCCGGTGCCACATTTCCCTCGCGAATCCGGTTTCGCGGGAATATTCTCCCGTATCTACTACCCGTAGGCTCCAGTGTCAGCACACCTCAGTGATTTATTTGTTGGAGATATAAATCCGCGTCCCTTTCTTTCTTGGTTCGCTGCGAGAAGACCCTGAAGCCGCCGCCAATTCCCGGAATCATTCGTCGAGTTCTTGTTTCTGTTTCCCCGGTTCGGATTTTCTTGAACTTCTGAAGGTGGGAAGAGCATGAGGCCGTGGGCGTGGGTGGCGGCCGTCACATGGATGGCTGCCTGCACCGCCGCGGCGGCCCACGGCGAGCAGCCGCTGTCGAGGATCGCCGTCGAGAGGACCACCCTCGCCGTCGACGACGCGGCGCACGTCAAGGCGTCCCCTGCGGTTCTTGGACTGGAGGGCCAGGACAGTGGATGGGTAGAGCTGGACTTCTTCCATCCCGACCCCTCCGGTGATGACTGGATCGGAGTCTTCTCCCCTGCCAATTTCAGGTAACAGCAGTCCAGTAGTATTGGCTATTCGGGTAGTACTTATCATCCACATTTACACGTTATGCAATTGCAGCACAAACTCAACAGCTCTTTCAGACATATTCAGCATGAACTCAATGCATTCAGACATAAGTATTTTGGATAGATTTCTTCTGTCCCAAGTTCAGAAAAATTTCATCTCAGATGTACTTGAAATGGCAAAGCATAGGATTTGATGCTGTTCTATGTCTCTTGTTTGCAAATTTCCAGTGCCGCGATTTGTGAGCCTGAGAATAAGAGGCAATATCCTCCAGTGCTATGCACAGCACCTATCAAGGTTGGCCGACTCTTTTCCCGTTCCGTTCAACTCAGATTTGGGTTCTATGTCGAATGTCTGTTGGAAGACGTTCGTTCTGAACCTTGAGGTTTCCATGCTCTTTTATCGCAGTACCAATTTGCAAAGTTCAAGAATGACGGGTATAGTAAGTCTGGAAAGGGCTATCTGAAGCTTCAGCTGATCAACCAGAGAGAAGATTTCTCATTTGCACTTTTTTCTGGGGGTCTCTTGAAGGTAAAAATGTACTGTACTAGTTTCTGAACTTGTCTGTGTGAACAGCAACTCCGTTGTTATTCTGAAGAAACATTTCTTTATATTTCTCAACTCTGAATCTTTTCTACCAACTTGGTCACAGCCGAAGCTGATTGCTGTCTCAAACAAGGTGACATTTCTGAACCCAAAGGCGCCTGTCTACCCACGTTTGGCGCAAGGGAAATCTTGGAATGAAGTAAGCTTGCCAATCTGCAACTGAGACTGTATTAGCATGTACTGTTTCTCAAACCAAATGTGAAACATCTTTTTGACAAGAACCTACATTGTATAGAAAGAACATGTGTTACACTCATGCCAGATAGTAAATGCATTCACAAATATAAGAATGTGACTGAATTAGTACCATTGTAGATGACAGTCACTTGGACAAGCGGATACGACATCAAAGAAGCAGTTCCTTTTGTTGAATGGGGTGAAAAGGGGGGGCTCCGGATCCTTTCTCCAGCCGGGACATTGACATTCGACAGAAACAGCATGTGTGGTATGCAGTACGCCTCTGTTTTCCTGTTTTTCTTTGAGATGAACATAAGTTAGTTAAACTTGAGATTTTAACAATGTAAATACAGATGAGGGTCTGCTATATTGTACCACATGCAGCGTTTACCAAGCATATACAATTCAAATGCAGGTGCACCAGCACGAACTGTTGGTTGGCGCCATCCTGGTTACATTCATACTAGTTACTTGAAGGATTTGTGGCCAGACTCGATGTATGTGATTTTTTCCCCTTGTTTAACCCCTTCTTAAATTAGGATCCATCCAGATACTCAGCGAACATGGTTGCTGCAACATTGCAGGTACACGTACAGGCTTGGCCATAGATTACCAAATGGTACCCGCGTCTGGAGTAAGTCATATAGCTTTAAGGCATCACCTTATCCTGGACAAGATTCTTTGCAACGGGTTGTCATATTTGGGGACATGGGGAAGGTAGATATATTTTCTCCCATCTCTATCCTAGTTTGATTCATATAGCAATTTTAGCATTTTGCCAGTGCAATGGTTCTTCTTTTCTGACAAGTTTCTTCAGGCAGAGGCAGATGGTTCCAATGAGTACAATAACTTCCAGCCAGGCTCGCTAAACACTACTAACCAGATCATTAGAGACCTGGAAAACATCGACATGGTGGTCCACATCGGGGACATTTGCTACGCAAATGGTTATTTGTCGCAGTGGGATCAGTTCACTGCACAGATAGAACCGATTGCTTCAACTGTGCCATACATGGTTGGCAGGTCTGTTGAGTATGAAGTTTAAGAACTTTCGATATGTTGTTGCCATGAACTGTTTAATGTCTAAAAAACTGGCATTTTCGCAGCGGTAATCATGAGAGGGACTGGCCTGGAACTGGTTCCTTCTATGGAAATCTCGACTCTGGTGGAGAATGTGGTGTTCCAGCACAAACTGTGTTCTACACTCCTGCTGAGAACCGTGCAAAATTTTGGTAATCATGGTAGTTAAATAAAGGCATATAAATTCCTTCATATATAATTCTGAAGTTTACTTGTCTTAGGAAAAATAATTGCTGACAACATATATCCTTCTGTAGGTACGCGACGGACTATGGCATGTTCAGGTTTTGTATTGCTCACACGGAAGAAGATTGGAGGCCAGGGACCGAGCAGTACAAGTTCATCGAGCACTGCCTGTCGTCTGTCGATAGGCAGAAGCAGCCATGGCTCATCTTCCTTGCACACCGTGTTCTCGGGTACTCATCCAACTCTTACTATGGATTTGAAGGCACGTTTGAGGAACCAATGGGGCGAGAAGCGCTGCAAGAGCTCTGGCAGAAGTACAAGGTCGATCTTGCCTTCTACGGTCACGTCCACAATTATGAAAGGACGTGTCCAGTGTACCAGGTGTGTCTCTAATTAGCATTTGCATCCTATCAACATCGTATTACGATCTTACAAACCTGATTGCAAACTGTGATTTGTTGCAGAGCCAGTGTGTTGTTAACGCATCAAATCACTACAGTGGCCCGTTCCAGGCAACGACGCATGTGGTTGTCGGTGGCGCCGGTGCCAGCCTTTCAGACTTCACCACTTCAAAGATCCAATGGAGTCACTTCAGAGACTTCGACCACGGTTTCGGCAAGCTCACGGCTTTCAATCATTCATCCCTGTTGTTCGAGTACAAGAAGAGCCGTGACGGCAATGTGTACGATCACTTCACGATCTCGCGCGACTACCGAG